TTCAAAATAGCATGAAAATGTTCATAGTTGAAAAAATCAAGACCTTACGTATCATACATTTATAAAATAAAATTATTTCCAAGGATTGTCCTTGGGCAACTATAACAATGCACAATTTTATTAGAGGTATGGGCTCATTTATCTTTCCACACACCAAACATTATATTTAAATAAAATCTTGCAAATCCTTTCTATATTTATATCAGGGCAGCAGTTACATATCTCACCTAATACTTTACCCACATACATAAATTCCACATTAAACATAATATTATAGTGCAATACCACCTATTAACACATTCTATAAACTGCTAATAATTGAAATTCAGATTCATGGTACACTCCGCCCTCTTAAGACTTGCAAAATATTTAGTTTTAATTAATGTTCTTGTAGATTACAATGCTGCCAAAGTACAGTAGTTACTTGCAAAAGGATAATTATTTTATACTAAAAAGAAATTTGAAGAGAAAATTAATATCTAAAAGATAATTCAATTGAAAATAATTCTAAATTGATTTGATGATATTAGCAGAGAACAATTATAAAAGCAATTGAATTTATAAATGTTTTCTTTTACTACTACAGCAAGTGATGAAATGAAATTGCTGAAAGCCGTATTTTATTCCTAAACATGAACATTCATAATGCATAAACAAGATATTCATAAACCTTGGCAAGAGGGTGTTGATGCCTAACTACTCAAAAGTTTTTCATCAGCATTTTCAATTTCCTCACAGAACATCTCTACAGGACTTCAAGTCAAGGGTAAAGAAAAAATATTGAAAACTGAAATCACCACTTTGACCTTCTAGAACAAGGTTTCTACTGACAAAATCAAAGAAATTGAGTAATTTCTGTGATATGGAGAAAAAAATTGAATCAAATTTCATTTTACGGAACTTAATTATGTTTCTCCATCATGTAAAACATAAAAGATCAATGGTTAAATTCCTGTGAAATGAAAGAGACGTGCTTGGCTTGGGGTAAAAACACATCCATGATGCTATTTTCCCAACCTCTCCAACTTTCAACTTTATCTTTGGTAATGAATAATTTAGCTACTAATCTAAAATAAAGTATTTGATTATTCTACTGCTTCTGTATTGCAACATGCAACATGTGGACTAGTGCAAGCGCACCAACACACAAATGTACATATTTACATACACACACACACAAAAGCAAAGAAAAATAATCTTTATAGATTACATTCTTAATTGATTACCTTCAATGTTGCAATGACTATGTCCCGTGCTTGCAGTTCTCCTTCTAAGTAACTTAAAAGTTTCAGAAGATCAGATTTACTTAATTCCATTTTTGGATTTCTCTGAAAATACAATAAAAATGATATTACTCTCTGATGCTGAAATCTACCATTTTATTCAGCAATTATATAGCTTATATATTACACCTGATATAGATTTTGATACCAAAACTGACAGAATGTCAGTACAAGCATCCACAGATATTCATCATACAGTGCACCCTATGAAAGTAAGTTTCAATATTTGATGAAATACATAAATGGAACTAGCAAAGGAAACATTTCTTCCTCAGAAAATGTATTTTCGCTTCTTGATTTACGAGTTGTAGTGAATACAAGTACATCAAATCTGTTTGCAAAGCACGATGATTATAATTGAATCATTTATTTCAGAAACACCAAATTCCTTATTTCGAGAAAACTGAGAATAAGTCTTAATAAATAAGTTTAATAATTTTTTTTTATTAAAGGAGTTGATAAACGAATATTCTTCATATAAATATGCACTATACGATATGTAAAACCTCCTGAAACAAATAATCAGTTTCTAAAGGGTGTTTTATAAAAGATTCAATTAAACTTGACTGAACTGAACTCCTTCAAACCATTTATTTCAGCACTTAAAAAAAATAAATAAAGAGTATTATACTTCACTAGTCCACAAATAACAGTGTTCTAATTTTTATATAACAAGTTTCTTAATCTAATTAATTTCCAAGTGAAAATTGGTAATTGAAATGCATTAAGAAATATTTCAACCAGGCCAAAAGTTAGTTGAATAAAGTGCATACATACGAGGCAATTAAAAGTTACGGATTTTTAAAACTTAATTTGAAATACAAATTTAACTGCCAAAGCACATGCTTTTATTTTGCATGAAGTCAGCTAATGAATTAAATTTCTCCATCAAATCAGATCCTGTTGAATAATACCTACAAAAATTAAGTGCTCCACTTCAAGAGAATTGTATCATATTGCAATAACTACAAATCAATTATTACCTAAATAATTTAAGATCATGGTATTCCTAGAGACATATTCATTATGACATTATTTCCCGAAACGGAAGATTGAAAACGAATCTTTCAGAACTATATATTTCCTTCTAAATAGTTTAAAACGAATTAACACCAAAAAATGCATTATCTGATTATCGAAAGAAAAGTACAATACATGGTTATGATAATGCTTTGAAAGGTTTAATATTCATCATAAAATACTACTGAATCCACTTCTCTAATATGTCAAAATTTTCGAACTTCATATTTTTCAAACCACAATTTCTTACTAACATTACAAAATCCAAGTGCATGTATTGCAATGTAACAAGAGAGAAAGATGTGAATTATATTTACAAGAAATGATTAGAGGACATAAAGTTGGAAAGAAAGGTCAGCTTTGGTACACACACTTATCTTATTAATAACAATATACACAATCATATTAAATTTTTTTTTTCCCAATAACATTATTTCATTAGTTGTCTGACTCAAACCCTCATAAAATAACTGTATCTTGCAAATTATAAATCATCCATATAAATTTAGTGAATGGGTGAAGGATTTCTTTTAAATGTGACAGAATTGAAAAATTATTAAAATTATCAACTCCAGTTCATGATACTAAATGTTGTGTGCTGACATTGTCAACCTAATGCTCAACTCGAAGTTATAAAAATAAACTCGGTACGGGAGACAATCATGTGGATGTAAACAATGACAACCTTCTCCACCATTCCCAGAAGGTTAAGGTTAACGGTCATGTTTACCACTCAGATTGAAATCTTGTTGAAATAAGTCCTGACAAGACAATTAATTCGAATGTATTAAACTTCTTAGTATACAATATTCGGCAATAAAAGGGACAAAATGGTAAAAAGAAATAATGCGGTACCCATTTTAAATGCGCCATAACATGTGTACCGGTAAGATGTACCTTCAACGTATTCGAAGATGACTTATCCAAAGGTTCAAAATTTGATGTCTGAGGTTGTTGCTGATGTTGAGGAGATTTTGTAGCCGTTGTCTGGCTGGAAACTTTAGGAGAATTTACATTTGACGCCATCTTGAACAATAGTTGCTTTACATCAATATTTGAACCAAAAATATCTCAGCACCCAAACAAACTCTCCCTCATGAAGTTTTATCGAAAATTAATGTACATGATACACAGTTCCTGTCCTAATTTGCTATAATTAACCGTTGGTACGAATGCACATTTCGCGTAAAACTTGCACATTTTGACACATTGCTACCATTTTCCCGAAACAACATGCATTCCCTTTGACCCTTGGTTTCCTCATTGGTTCATTCCAGTAACTTCTCAGTGTTGCCAGACGCAATACAGAAAATTATCCTTCGGTTAACGTTTGCGTACTATTTTATTTTTAATTCCCTCTGCATCCCAGAAAAAAATGTCAACACCTTTTGACTTATTCAGCTATCCTGTTTCAATGTCATTCCCGCTACAACTTGTGAATTTAGAAGGATACAGGAATTAGAAGATAGTTTAGTTAGAGATCTCAAATTACATAAATTATTCTAATGTATTAGTACAAATGTCAACAGTTTGAATGGTTTTGTGTGTAATTATAATGAAGAACTGTTGTTACAATTTATTCTTGAATAAAGGATTTCATTAATAGTTTTGTCCCTTTCAAGGTGAATGACTTGCTTCGCTAACCTCGGGCGCGAACAGGGGGAAAAATACCGCGACCAGGCCACGACTGCAGGACCAAAGCAGCAAAATGACCCGGTCAAGTTAAAAAAAGAAAAGTGTGAGAACGGTAATGTCAAAGTCATACACAAAATCATTTTAAGAAATAAAAGACGTTAAATTATGAACAAAGTCGCAGCGTTCCAGATTATTTGTATGTATTTTAACATAGCTGCATGTATACCATCCGAATTCTGTCATTTATAAAAGAACGTAAAAAATATTCATCACAATCAAATTTAATAATCACAGAAATAATTAATATAGTTACATGAATATATAGTTATATATAATATACTAAATATAATATTAATATATTTATATTAAGTTTCATGAATCTACTGCGATAAATTGATATGCCAACATTAGTTGAATTAAGAATAAATGATAGCAACGAACGTTGTAAATAAAATCTATTAACCAGAATGATCGCTGCCGTGTAATAGAAACTATTTTGCATCCAAAAAGGAACAATAAATTTGTTGCAAAAATCCTTTCGTTAAAAGGTTTAACTCCCCACTCCTCTCGCAACTAGCGAAACGGGGGCTCAAGAAAACTTGCGCGGATAATGCACATCACCAAATGAATATAACCGAAATGAAAACCACTGAAACGTGTTTTGTTTCAAAATGAACGGGTACAACTTTCTCATTTATTCTCGATGATGAGCAAAATAAAAATCTATTAGGAGCTAACGGATCTAAAACTTCTTTTTTTCTTTTAAAAGTAACTCTCAATGCAAAATACAGATACGATTAGAGAAAATAAAGATTTGTATAGGTGCGTATCCAACTAACGGGACTTATTAGGAATTCCCTCGGAATATATTACTCCAAATTGTGTCAAAATTTGATTCATATATTGATAGTATTAAGTATTGTCGTACACATATCGGTCTCCTAAACTACTACTTTCTTAACTTCAACACGGAAAAAAGGAGGATAAAAATAATTAGCGGCATGGACATGTAGTTAAAGTGTCTGGGAATCCTTATATCGGTGTTTCTAAAATGAAGAAGACCATGACAATACGAAAACATTTTAGTGCTTCTTAACAATGCGTTTCTAATTTTGTTCAAGTTCCTAATTTCACCTCGAAAATTTTTGCCGGTGTAATGCTCAACCTAAAACCAACGTGTTTGATATAATAGTATCATAAAATTTATTTTATTTTTAAATGGGAATAAAATGCGGCTTTAATTCATTTATATATATATATATATAT